TGTTAGCTTGCCTGTTTGCCTGTCTGTACACACACACACACACACACACACACACACACACACACACACACAAACACACACACACGGAGTCTCTTGGTGCTTTTTCTTCTGTTCTCACACTGCATGCTCATCTCCTATGTGTGTCAGAGACCACACTGCTTAGGAAATCTGGCACTAACCAAGCTCCATAACTGGCTGGGATGTTGAAATTGCTCTTCAGAATTGTGCTGGATATGCTCTGTTTATACGAATCACAATAGGGAAAAATTGCAGTGAGCACCTTGAGCTCCACCACTAGGGTTCTCTTTATGAGACAAGAAACAAGTCTCTGTCTCTCTGCCTCTCTGTCTATGTCTCTCTCTGTCTCTGTCTCTCTCTCCGTGTGTGTGTGTGTGTGTGTGTGTGTGTGTGTGTATGTGTGTGTGTTATGTGGAAGCCAGAGGAAGATGTCTGAACCCTCCTCTCTAACTCTCTGCCTAATTCCTTCTTGACAGTGACTAATACTCACCTTGAAGCTCACTGACTTGGCCAGGCTCCTGGCTAGACATTGGGATGGATCATTTCCTTTGGTTACTATGGTTCTGTGTCCTGTTATACTTCACTGGGTGCTGGCCACTGCAAATCAGAATCAGCAGGCACAGAGGACTGCTGTGACCTTGTTATGACCTTGTTCACACTCTCAGTCCTGAGGTCTGACAGACTTGGCTGTCTTCAGCCTGCATGGGGTTACCACACATAACTATCACTTCATAGACAGCTGTGTGCTGCTCCCTGACTCTAAGAACAGTTCTCACACAGACCAGATAGATGTACCTGTGTAATTGGGGTGTGTTGAAGAAAGCCTGGCCTGTGTGGAGCATAGTACTCATTGTCCTCATCCCAGGCTCCTGTCTCAGTCCTTCCATTCCTTTCTCTTGGTTCACCAATTTTGTTGAATAAAGGCAAGTTATTAAATCTAAGTTGTGAAACAAATGTAGCCATTCATATTTTCTGGGCAAGATGATATTATGGATCTGTTTTATAGCATTTTCCCCATTATATAAACATGAAGATGGTGAAAATTACCTTAAAAAGAAAAACCAAGTAAAGAATGTGGAAAGTCATACAGGAAAGATGTTACACAATCCCACAGATACACCCGGTCATCAATAATCCATACTCCCTGCCAGAGTCTTCTTCAATTACAAGCTCTGCAGTTTACCCTGGTATCGATCTATTTTCCCCCAAGTACACACTCCACAGTGTCTGTCCCTGTAATGTCCTTTATCTATACCTGTGATGCCCTTGAGGACTCCAAGAGGGCCGTACTCATGTGAGCATGTTCTTCATCCAAAGTGACTGTGACAACTTCCTCCTGACCAGGGAGTCAAGAAGCAGGATCCAACAGCAGGGAAGAATTGACAGCTTATTCTTAAAAAGGAGTTGATGAACCACTAGAGATTCCTTGGCAGCTTACCTACAGATGGTCATTGTCTTTCTTCCTCCACATGTCCTGCAGAACTCAAAGAGGCTGGTGGGTCAAGATGCTTTGGGCTGTTGAGTTGTGTGTGCCCCTGCTAAACACAGATCTTGCTCCAGTAGGAATAAGAATTGGTTTATTCTTCACCAATTAAGAGTGACCATGGATTGCAACACCGATTCAGGTTGCCCTAAGAGTCATGTTATAGTGTATAAAAAGTTACCTGAACTTTTGAAGTCGTGTGTGAAAAGACAGTCAGAAGTCAGTGCATTTATAAAGTTCATTGTTGCTGGTCTCAGTAGGCAGAGTAGTAGGTGGAGAATCTCTTCTGTGGGTTCAGGCATTATGTTACGGCATTCCTAGCTTGAGAATGGTTTGTTCAGTTTCATGATGCATTTCAAATGCTTTACCTACTGCTCAAAATGATGTGTAGTCAGATACAGAACTTGGTTGTAAATAGCTACTAAGGGGATTACACACAGACCCCTCCTCTCCAGAGAACTTTCTCTACAGAAGACTAGAGGGAAAAAACAAACAAAAACAAAACAAACAAACAAAGAAAAACCCTCTTTGAAACTGTGCTGTGCCTGTTGAGCTATCCATTTTTGAGAAGACATGACCTGTGAAAAGTGAAGGGAATTGAGTCTTCCAAACTGAAGTTGGTTCTTCTGTGGAAAAGCCTGTTCTAGTTGTAGAAAATTTCTGCCAGAAAACAGAATTCCGCAGAAAACAAGGCACTTACACTCTGATTTTTCCTTGCAGGCTGTGGCCAACAGGTGGGTGGCTCTCTTCCTGTGTAAATGTTTGCCAGCATTGCAGATTCTGTTCCCTCCCACCCCTCCCTCCTGCCCTTCTTCCCCCCTCTTTGTCTTCCTTTCTTTTCTTTGCCAAAGTCAGCATTAGGTCATTAGAAGAACATACTCTCAGTTCCAAAACTGTGAGGAAATTCTCTCACATGAGAGCTTCTCATAATCTATGAATTGTTTCGTTTTTGCTTTCAACAGGTGGTTATGCATTTTCAGGAAAAATTGACAGCCAGAAACCAAGATGTTATAGAAATAAACTGTACAGTAAACAGTAGTGAGAAAGAATGAGGAACACTCACCGGGACTTTCTACATCATGGAGGAGGAAACCAGGGAGATGAGGCTGAAAGATAGGGTCTGGGAAAGAAGGGAGACACTGGGAGTATATCAGAAAGAAAGCTGTGTGCACACATATTCAATATCATATATAGCTTGTGCTACTAGCATAGAGTACATCATACATAATATATATGCTAATATATACTCCTGCTTTCAATTTTGGTCTAGGGCACTGAACCCTATCTAAAGTATTCCTTATTGAATATTGATTTCAGTGATTAACCTTTAGTTCCAATATGTCTAATTGTAGAAATATCCAGCCTATTCTGACAGAAAGACAAGGCTTTCAGTGTTTCAATAGTCTACATTTTTCCATTTGCTATTTATAACTTTCCCTGTGGTGTTGGTGTGATGGTAAAATGATCCACATCTGTTTTATTTCTCTTCCCTACATTCTTAGAAAGAAAATCCTGATGTTGTTTTGTGGCAATGAACCAAAAGCTATGATGTCATTGGCAATGAAAGCTAAAAAAAAAAAAAAAAAAAAAAGGAACTGGTGAGTCATCCAGATAAGACAGCAACAATTTTGCTCTTAAGAGTCAATGAAAAAGATCTATGCTGATGAAATAAAATATTGCTATGAAAGTGACTCTATTTCCAAGGGATCTTCAGGTTCAATGCAATCCAAATCAAACTTTCAATAATGTTTCTCCCAGAATTATCACCTTTAAAATACATATGGATTCATGAAGACACCAAAGAATAAAAGCAGTGTTGAATTGGTAGTCTCACAATACCTGATTTCAAATTAAGCTATGTCTAAGAGAGGGTTACTATGCCTTACCACAGAAGTCTCTTGCAGTCAATGCAAATAAACACAGAGACCCACAACTGATCAATGAACAGAAAATAAAGGGCTGACTTCCTGGCCAGAGGATCACTGCAGGAGAGGGAGCAGAAGAATTTTAAGAGGCAGAGGCAATGGATGACTACAGCAAGGCAGTGGTCATGGACACAGCAGGGTAGATGCACAGATGAACTGAGAGTGGCTGTGACTGAATGAACAAGACCACATCAGATAATAGCCCAGTTTGGAAAACAAAGAAAATTCCACCTCTAGCTGAGGAACTATGGGAACTGTTGGCTATTGAGACAAAGAGATGAACGTGTCTTCATGGTTGGGGCCCCTAAATGGTGCTACCTTAGCTCCAGGAGATGGCCCTGTGTCCATGCACAACTAGAATCTCCAAGAAAAGAAGGATGGAAAGGAGGAGGAGGGAGAGGAGGAGGACCAGGAGGAGAAAACCCATTGAAGTTGAGAGGGCATAGTGGTGTTTCAAAGGGTTAATTTTAGAGGATTTCATTTCCCTGGTGGGGTTTATTCCAAGAGATGTTTCTAGAGGCTATTATGAATAAGTGCTGATTTCCTGATTTCTTCCTGGTTTGTTTGTCCATGTTATACAAGCAGACTAATCACTTTTCTGTGATCTATTTTATATCACTGTACATGATCTCACTCATATTTAGAACCCAACATTGTTAAGCTTGTAGGAGTTGAGAGTAGATGATAGGTATCAGAGGTCAATGAGGTCTGAGGGGGGATTATTTGGGGGAGTATTAGAATATTAGGTCAAAAGGATTAAGTCACAATGTGACAGAAGCAAGATTCTCTGGCTTTCTACTACACATTATGCTGGCTTCACACCCAGAAGAATACTACATACTGGATAGAAATAGAGAAATAGACTTAGGGTTTGTCTAAATACTATGCAGCGTGCACATGTATCCAGTGTGATTTTTGAACACTGTTCATGTGTGTGATGTTTACAGTGTAGAGCATAAACTGAAAAACATGGAAAAGATGGAAAAAACATACAATTAACAAATCAAAAGTGTTTTATATAGCAAAATTTAATTGAATACAAAATAATTTCATTGCAGCAGATGATTTTGTTGCAGCATAGACAATACAAAACTGTTAGATATAGCTTAAATAACTTAAATTGCATAAATAGTGAAATAAATGAAATGCTATATATATGTGTAGATATGCCTAAATTGGTGCAGAAACAAATGCCTTTATATACAGACATTAAAAATTTTTGAAAACATGTAAAGAATGAAAAAGGCAAAGCAGGTTCATTTTGCAAACATTTGTAGAACACAGAAAATATAATGTTTTCATATGTACTTGCTACCTCAAAGAAAATACAAAACTGTATAAAATTATAATACAGTAAGTTAAATCACATAAACAAATAAATAAATAAATAAATTTGAACGGATGGAGAACAAATGATTGAAAGATAGACACAGTATTGCTCATTGCTGCTGAAGCACCTAGGCAGGTTGATTGAGTTCATGAAAATAATGAGTGAGAATTTTGAGACTGCAGAATCTGAGCAGTGAGGTGCGGTGTCCTAGTCCAAGAGAGTCCTCTCTATTTTGACACAGGACTTACTCCTTCTCCTCACTCAATCTTGCCAGAAAGTTGGCTGAGGAAGACAATGCTCTCCAGACTTCTGCTCTGACCACCTCCCAGGCACAGGGGCTGTGGTTCTTCTCTCTCAGGTAGACAGTGATCCTGTGGAAGTATTTCCTCACAGCCACCAGGGAGTCTTCCTGGCTCAGGGGAGGTTCCTGCTTCCCCACCTGCTGCAACAGACAGGCTTGCAGGTCATTGAGCTGCTGGTGGAGGCCAGTGCAGAAGGTGTCTAAGAGGGCTGTCTCCCAAGCAGCAGATGAGTCCTTTGAGCTGAAGAGGACGAGGACTTGCTGGGTCAGTTCCTGTAGGACAGGGATGGCTTGAGCCTTCTGGACGTGCTGGGCATCCACTTTCTTCAGAGGGAATGCAAAGTTCTTTCTGTCCTTTAGGCAGGAGAGCGGGGAGAGTCTCCTCATTTGTTCCAGGAGTGTCAAGACTCCCTTGTTCCTGAGGTTATGAGTCTCAGTCAGGTCACATCCTAGAGAGCAGGTTGACCAGTAGTTCATCACCACCAGGGCCATCAGGAAAGCACAGGGTCTAGACATTGTGGATGTTGCAGAGGTTGCTGGTCCTCTGGGCAGTGTGGTCCTGAACCTTCCCCTCTAGTGCCTCTGAAGACCATGCTGTGAACATCTATCTTAAGTAGGAGAAACACTAGTTTCCATTTTCTGAATGCCCTCCCCTTCTCCACACTCCACAATTGTGTTTTCACTTTTTTTTTTTTCATTCATTCTCTGCTAGTGTCTGGGCATTTTTCTCAATCATTTTTGTTTTCATTACTGCTTTCACTTTCACTGCTCTCTTCAACAAATCTGCATGGGAGATTTTCTTTCCTTAAGTGAAATTAACATTAACTAGTTACTTCACATATACATTCAACTTTTGAAATTTACACACATATTGTAAAGACAGATTTCTTCAAAAAATTGTAATAACAAGATATTGAAATTCAGTTTATAATTAAATTTTCTGTTGTTATTTCTATCAAATACATAATTTCAAATTATAATCTAAGATTAATTAATTGTTTCAAAATTAAAACTGTCAGTGTAATGGGCCAAGCACTGGGCTGAGTTCCTGGAGTCCAGTTGAAGAGGAGGGGTGATATGAACAAGGAGGGTCAAGATCATGATGAGGAAACCACAGAGGCAGCTGACCCAAGCTAGTGGGAGCTCATGGAGTAAGGGCTGACACCTGAGGAACCTTCATGGGACTGAACTAGACCGTCTGAATCTGGGTGACAGTTGTGTGACTTGATCTGTTGGGGGGTGCTGGCAGTGGCAGCAGGACCTAACCCAGGGGAATGAACTGACTTTTTGGAGCCCATTCCCTATACTGGAAGAAAACCTTTCTCAGCCTTGAAAAAGGCGGAGGGGCTTGGTTCTGTCTCAACTTGGTATGCCAGATTCTGTGGACTCCCCAAGAAGGCTTCACTCCTCTGAGGAGTGGATGGGGATGGGAAGGGAGAAGGTAGTGGGCAGTTTAAGGGGAGGGAGGAGGAAGTGGGGTAGGCATGTAAAATGAAAAAATAGTTTTTTAAATAAAAAATGTCAATGTAATGTACTTTATACGTTTCCAGTGTTTAAAGGGTTAGCGTTATTTCCTTCATTAAATTTAATAGTAACTCATATGTGTGTGTTTAATGTAATAATCATTGTATATTACCTACTTATTCAATGATTCTTGTCATCATGACGTCTTGATGAGTAAAATCTTGCTGTCCGAAGCAGGAGGAGCTGAGTCCTGTAGTTTGTCTTCTGACCATCACATCCATGTCATGGTAATCTTGAGACTACACACACACACACACACACACACACACACACACACACACACACACAGTATAATATACATTCACAGACAATTACATAAACACACACACACATAATACACACACTCCTTCACACTTAAGTACATATTCCCACACACACAAATGCACTCACATATACATTTAAACTTTCACACAAGTACACACACCCCACGCATTCAAACACACATATATTCACACACATATGAACACACACATATATACACACCCATAATACACTGCTGCAAACACACATACAGACATACACACACTCTCTCTTTCACGCATACACACCTATTCACCATGCTCACACAAACACATACAAACACTCCCAGTAATACACAAGGGCAACAACATCTCAAAACAAAATATTACATTTGTTACACAATATTAGACACTTATCTTTATGGACTTATTCATCCAATGAGGCTGGATTTCTTACCTGGTCTTCCTAACATTATGGAGTCCAAAAGAAGCAGGCTCCAATGCCAATGAAGGAATGGCTTTGCTATCAAGGTGAGAGCAAGCAGGCAAAGATCAAAAGCTTCCTTCCTTCTTTCATGTCTTCTATGGGATTCCAGCAGAAGTTGTGCCTCAGCATAGAGGTGGGTCTTCATACCTCAAATGGGTTAAAGGTGAGTGGCCCCACCTCAAAGATCCAGATAAAGGTGTGCCTTCCCCTCTTAAAGATCATGATTAGAAGTGGATCTTCCTACTTCAAGTAAGAAAATAATCCCTCACAGGAATTTAGTTTTGAGATGCTTACTTCTTATTACTCTTGTGTATGATTGGGAGCATGTGTAAGCATTGTTTGCAAGTGTGTGTGTGTGTGTGTGTGTGTGTGTGTGTGTGTGTGTATGAGAGAGAGAGAAACAGACAGACAGACAGAGCATGCATGTGAGTTTGTATGTGTTAGTGCACCAGTGTATAAATATGTTTGTGTGTGTGTGTGTGTGTGTGTGTGTATTAAAGTATAAATGTGTGAGTGCATTTGTGTGTGGGAATGTGAGTGTTATATGTATGTGTTTATGTTGTGATTGTCTGTGAATCTGTATTTCTGTATGTGATGCCATGTGTGTGTCTGTGATGCCATGTGTGTGTCTGTATGTGAATATGCTTGTGTGTGTGTGTGTGTGTGTGTGTGTGCTTGAGTGTGTGTGCAGTCCCAAGATTGCCACACATGGATGTGGCAGTCAGAGGACAAACTACAAATTCAGATCTCTACAACAACCATGGGTTCCAGGAATCAAACTCAGCTCCTCCAGCTTAGACAGCAAGCCTTTATACACTGAATCCCCAGGATGATATGAATCATTGAATAAGTAGCTAATATACAATGATTATTAAATGAAACATAAATATAACTTAATATTAAAGTTAATGAATGAATTTGAAGAAAATAATTTGAACACTTTAAACTTTAAACTTTTAAACTTAAAAAAAATTTAAAGTATACCATTACATTGACCTTCTTAATTTAGAGACAATTAATTTGCATCATACTTCAGATTATAATTTAAAATTGTGCATTTGAATAATAACAACAGAAAATTTAATTAAAATCTGAATTTCAATATCTTTTTATTACAAATTTTAGAACAAATTTACATGTTTAAATTTCAAATGTTGAATGTATATATGCAGTTACTAGTTAATGATAATTTATTTTTTTATAATTTTTTATTTAATTTTGAAACAAGCTTGTTTTATATGTCAACCCCAGTTCCCATATCCTCCTGTCCTCCCCTGTTCCCCGTACCAACCCCATCCAGTCCCCTTTCTGCTCCCCAGGGACGGTCAGGCCTTTCATGGGTAGTCTTCAAAGTCTGATATATCATTTGAAGCAGGGCCTTGGCCCTCTCCCATGAGTCTAGACTGAGAGAGTATTCCTCTATGTGGAATTGGCTCCCAATGTCCATTCGTATACTAGGGATAAATACTGATCCACTACCAGAGGTCCCATAGACTGCTCAGACCTCCCATCTAACAGATAATTTTATATAGGGAAAGAAAATGTCAGATGCAGATTTGTTTAAGACAGCAGTGAACGAGGAAGCAGTAATGAAAATAAAAATGGTTGAGAAAAATGCCCAGACACTAACAGAGAATGAAAAACAAACAAAACAAACAAACAAAAACAGAATTGTGGAGAAGGGGAGGACATTCAGAAAATGGAAACTAGTGTTTCTCTCACTTAAGATAGATGCTCACACCATGGTCTTCAGAGGCACTAGAGGGGAAGGTTCAGGACCATTGTTTTTTCAACAGGATCAACACACATCCAGAAGGCTCAAGCCATCCCTGTCCTGCGGGAGCTGACCCAGCAGGTCCTCCTCTTCTTCAGCTCAAAGGACTCATCTGCTGCTTGGGAGACAGCCCTCCTAGACACCTTCTGCACTGGCCTCCACCAGCAGCTCAATGACCTGCAAGCCTGTCTGATGCAGCAGGTGGGGGAGCAGGAACCTCCCCTGAGCCAGGAAGACTCCCTGGTGGCTGTGAGGAAATACTTCCACAGGATCACTATCTACCTGAGAGAGAAGAACCACAGCCCCTGTGCCTGGGAGGTGGTCAGAGCAGAAGTCTGGAGAGCATTGTCTTCCTCAGCAAACTTGCTGTCAAGATTGAGTGAGGAGAAGGAGTAAGTCCTGAGCTAAAGTGGAGAGGATTCTACTGGACTAGGACACTGCACCTCACCTCGTCAATTCGGCTTTCTCTGTGATCTCACTCGTTGGATATTTCATACAGTTTATTGTAGAGGCACTGGCTTCTGGAATCATCCAGTTATTTCTATTCATGTATATAGACATTTATTTAAGTATAAAATTAAGTTATAATACCATGTGAAATTTTATATTTTCTCTAATACAATAAAACTTTTTATATGTAATAAAATTATTTTTTGTGTTCATTAAAATTTTGTTATATATCTTATATTTTTCCATTATTTATATTTCATCATTTTTTTCTATTTCTTTATACTAACATTACAAAGTAAAAACCATGCACATTGAGAGGGTATATGCATAAATCTCATGGTGTTTAAATATAAGCAGACCTGCATATTTTATAGTTTTAGGTATAAAAATCTGAAAATTATCAGATGATTGTGGTGCACGCTTTTAATCCAACCACTTGGGAGGCAGAGGCAGGTTATATATGTGAGTTTCAGACCAGCCTGTTCTGGTGAGGGACAGGACATGCTCCAAAAGCTACACAGAGAAACACTGTCTTGAAAAACCAAAATAAATAAATAAATATTTCTGAAATTTTATCCTCTAGTGTCTTATAATATATAGTATACAACTATTCTTTGTAGTCCATGTATTTTGTGTCAGTAAAAGAGAACTTATCTTCGTATCAAATTGTGATGGTACAACTTTTTCTTATTTTAATTTAAATTTGAAACATGGTTGTTTTACATGTCAATCCCGGTTCCCTCACCTTCCCATTCTCCCCTATCACAGGCATCAAACCCAGCCCATCCCATTTCTGCTCCCAGGGAGGTTGAGGCCCTCTATGGGGAGTCTTCAAAGTCTGTCATATCATTTGGGGCAGGGCCTAGGGCCTCCTCCATTGTCTAGGATAAGAGAGTATCTCTCTATGTGGAATGGGCTCCAAAATCCCATGCATTTACTAGAGATAAATACTGATCCATTACTAGAGGTCCCATAGACTGCCCGCTCCTCCTAACTAACACTCACATTCAGGGGATCTGGGTCATGTTATGCTGGTTTCCCA